ATTCTACAGCTGGACTAACCACTGAAGATGACAAAATTTTAACTGGAGTTTCATGCAGGAGCTTCAAACTTCACCCAGGACCTCATACATGCTCTGGCTTTCAGATGCCATACAAGGTTACAGCCTTTAAATATTTCTTGGGGCAGGGCCTGTGTTAAAAGCAGACGCACCAGGCTAACCTGCCATAGTGTGGATGCATCCATTACAACAGTAATGTTTAAGTGTAAGTGTTTGAAGTTGCAATTGCTGGAAGCAAACAGCCCCTGGAAATGGCCCATGACAATAACACTGTGCTTTACATCAAGCTGTAGAAAAAAGGTTGAGAAACACTTCAAAAGCCCACCATTAAAGGAGAGACAGAAAGATTTTTGTTTTAGAGACTACATGAAAACTCTGCCTCATGGTGAACAACTGTAGCTATAATGACATGCACATTGGAATGCAGTATTATAATTAAAGGTCATGGTATGCAGCAATCATTATTTACTGTTCTCTCCTTTAAAACTATATTTTACTTTCCAGACTTAAGGGAAACATTTCTTATCTTGTGCAATTCTTCAATAACCAAATTACACACTTCAGCTAAACATAATGCATATTAATTTAGCCTACCATACATTCACAGGGACTCGAGGTGTCTAACTTTCTACCAGAAATTTCATCTGGTAGAAATAAAAAAAATCAACTGTTTGCATTAATAGGTATCTGGACAATACGGGCACGTGTGTTTTCTTTGTTACCTCATTTTAATGTCTCTCTTAGGCATTTATGATCAGTAGCATGTATTTCTATCTGGAAAATCCCACAGAAAAAAATTTTGCATATTAGAAGTGCCCCTTGCAATACAGACATAACAAACCATTTATTATTCCAGGTAAAAAAAATGGCACAATGTAAGTATGACTGGTGAGCTCAAAAGCCTGTTTTCCCATAATATATTAAAATAACATTGTTATCCAAATGCAAAGGAGAAAAAATCATTTAAAAGGAGTAGGCTTACTGGATTCAATGAAATAAATAATGAAGAAGAGATAAAGCTATATAATAACTTTTCAAAATAAAATATACGGTACAGGAAGTAGCAATAACAAAAGAATCAGCAAAAAAAAAAAACCTCAGTGCTACAGAGAATTCACCACAGTCATACAAAACCCCAACAGGCTCACACGTAAGTAATGATCTAAAAGAATTTATATGTGCATGTAACTATTAGAATTCATACAATCACATTTGCAGAGCATTTGCTGATGAATACTTTCTAAGTGTTTTCTAGTACAAAGACTCAGACCAGTTAAGTTAAACTTATGTATGTATTCTTGCAGCTATGCAAAATTTCACAAACTTCAGTTTAGCCCTAAATGGCTGTAGAAAATTCTGCTGCTGTGAACAACTAGGTCTTACTGGAGGGTCTGTTTCCTAATATAAGCTCAATAAAAGTACATATTATAAAGTGTATATATATACACATATACACGTGTACATATATGCGCTAAACACTATGAAAACCCATTTTGTCCTTGCACAACAAATTTTCAGTGAATAGTAAAACATTTTGGATCAGATTTTAAGGTTGTTACAATTTGGCAACTCCCTCCACTGCACTCAGGTCATGATCTTTTTGAAAAAAGAGATTACCACACATACTCACTGCCTGAACTGAGGACTCAAAGTGACACTGTCCACTGAAATGTCATACCTGTTTAAAGAGTGCTACAAACACCAGTTTTAAATGTCATACTCTGAAGTAACTTAACCGAGTATTCTTTAAATAATATACTGTAGTTGTTCACAGGGTTATCTAATCTCTAGTTATTTATCAGAGGTTTTTTGGGGTTTTTTTCAGGCAAGAAAATTTAGTTTATTATTAAGAAACACAAACCCTACATTTCTTACAAATCACTAATTATGTCCTCTGTGTCCATAGGCCTGATAATAGGAAAATGTTAAGTATCCCTGTTTTGACATCCAAGATTTTTTGCAGAATAATACCACTATTTTAGCAAACTTTCCCTATAGCATAAGTACGTAATTGATTCAAATAGGTATGGACAAGATGAATATTCTGAAAATTTAACTTCCATAAATAAATAACCATTTTCAAGAAAGATTTCCCCTTTAGCTCTCACATTTTCAAAGAAAATATGATAGAAAAACTACCATTTTTATCTCAACAGCTTCTTCTGATCCAAGAAGAATTCTGCAGCAGATACAAAATTATCTATCAGAACATATAGCCAAGAGATCCTCCTAGCTCCATTCCTTTGCCTCTGAGTTTCACAGTCTTGACTATCCCAAGAGAATAACATCTCCTGCAGGTTAAATGGGACATTGGGAAAGTTGGAGGAAGCATAATGTATTTCTACCTCCAGTACTATCCCAGTAATTCAAATATATGTAGAAACTATATTTCAGTATCTCATCTTACAAATCTCTAACAAATTTTGTTTATCCCAGGATTGTGTTCTTCCTGAAATCTTTATATTTAATAATCTTTACTGAATATCTAATTAATCATATACTTAAATGAACTCTAAACATCAACATGAATTTCACTAGGACAAAAAGAGGAGATAAATCTGCATATTGTTGGCAATATAGAGTGGGCAGGATGACAGCGAGTGTGAAAGAATGTATTGATGTGGGGGATGATTCTGGCCTGTTAAAATTTGTAAAGAATGAGAGGGCTTTGATTGTCATCTAAATTCATTATAGATTTTTAACACTTTTTGATACATTTTTCTTGCATCTGAGTAGGAACTGATTCAAATTGGAAAGTGAACATTAGGCTATGTTCTTGTCTTAGCTATAAATGTGTCACATTAAGACTCCTCCCCATCTTTGCCAAGCTTATTTGTGTATTTGCAAGAGTGATGACACAAGCAACAATCTACCTCAGGCAAAAGAGCCTGTGTGTCTGTCAATATTTGGGTGATGAGCCTATAAAAGGTTCATTAGAACAATCTGCCCTGAAGCAAAAGATACCGTTCATATCAGCCAATTTGAGACCCACTGTGCAACTCAAAACACTGAGTAAATCCAGCACTGGGGTTCATACACAGGCAGAGACTACAGCAAGTCAGAGAATTTTCTATAAAATGCAAGTTTGTGAGAAAAAAAGTATTCCATACAGATAAACAATTTTTCATAAGGATTTCATGGAGAAGTGTTGGGATACACGATTTGCTTAATGGCCATAGAAAGACTAACAATCTCCCATTTAGTCTCCCTTTGTTCTACCCACTAAAACTTAGACACTTAAGTTACAAAATCATTACAAGTTTTTACTTTTACTCCACAGGCAATGAAGATTTGAGATAAAACCTTAGTATGATTAAATGTTGTTCTCTAGATATCACTCAGGTATTATCCCTTTCTAAGTATGCTTAAGGATTTTAACACTCCTGTTTCAAAGCCCTGTAAAAAAATGTCCCCATTCAAGGTATATCTATGTTGTCAGGCTACTGAAAGCCAGTGAGTAGCCTTAATAGTCTTTGGATTGAGGACTCACATCCTATTATTGCTGCTGTAAAAGTGGTAAACCAGTTGGCCATTAGATAATAATTAAAAAATAAAAAAAAAAAAAGCAACTTGTGACCAGTAAGATCAATGGGTACATTCTACGACATGTGCCATTTCTTCACCCTCCCTACTGTAGGGCCTCATGAAAAACACCATCCTAGAAAGCTAGCTAATTTAATCTGTAAAATCTGTCTTTATCTACAAAATAACACCCTTGCTTCTCCTTACCCACATAATAGAAACAGCGAAAAGCCCTCAGGGGATTACAGCTTCTTAAAGCAAACCTGTCAGTTTTAATTCAGGCTAGGTGCCCGCATAACACAATCGTGAAGAAACCAAATCAGGTCCTTTCAGATGTTGATAATTCACTGGTAAGAATTCTCTTGGTCATACACACTTAACATTCATATGGATTAATTCTTGTCCAGGTTTTGGTGAGAAAGAGTTCATTTTATTCCTAGTAGATGGTATAGTGCTGTGTATTGGATTAAGTATGAGAATAATATTGATATCATACTGATATTTTAATTGATTCTAAGCAGCGCTTACCCCAAGTAAATGGTTTTTCAATTTCCCAGGCTCTGCTGGTGAGCAGGTGCACAAATGGCTGGAAGGGAGCAAGCCAAGGACAGCTGACCCGAACTGGCCAAAGGGATATTCTGCACCACAGAGAGAATTGCCCAGTATATAAACCAGGGGGAGCTGGTCAGAAACTGTCAATCACTGCTCAGACACTGACTGGGCATTGGTCAGTGGGTGGTGAGCAACTGTATTGTGCATCACTGGTGTTTCTTGGATTTTATTCCTCTTCTGCTTTTTGTTCTATTCTTTTTCATTACAATTATCAATAGTAGTAGTAGTAATGTTAATATAATTTATTTCAGTTATTAAACTATTCTTATCTCAACACATAGGTTTTACCTTTCTTCCATTCTCCTCCTGACTCCACCAAGGCAGAGAGGGGAGAGGGGAGTTAGAGAGTGGCTGTGAGGTACTTAGTTGCCAGCTGGGTTTAAACCATGAAAATTCTACAGATACATAATGGAAGTGATGAGATGGCCATCTATAAATATACATACGTATATCTCTCCATATTTATACATATATATATTTATATATGTATCACATTACTTACATATTATTTTTTTCCTAATTGGTGATGTAGACAGTTCTTAATAAATACATTGACAAAATTCATGTCTGATAGAGTACTACACCATTTTTGCCTGTGTGTCAGCACAATATATTTGCCTATGCATATATATTCACCCATGTACATCCACACACACTTAACGCACGTATGCATCATATATATGTAACAGAGCATACAAATCTAAGTATGGCATTTAAGTAATGACCTGACAAACATTAGACACATCACATTAAGTGCTTAGCTGGGAATAACCTTTAGCTTGGCCTCACAAATCTTTTTCTTTTCTGAACTACATGCTTCATGTCTGGACCATGTGGAAGCATCTTACCTTGCTTCCATTTTCTCTTGCCTCCCGTTCCATCTTGAGATCAGAAATTAGGAGAGTCTTGTATTTGTTCTTTCCATTACTGCTGTGATCATCTAGTCTGTATTCTGAAGTCAGCTGAGCAGAGAGGGGACTGTCACTCAGGTTCAGAGGCTGCTCATCCTGCTCCAGATTTGTTTTGCCATTACTGTTGGTTTCTGCCATCTCCCTGCAGTGTGTTCCCCCTGAAGCATTGGAACTGTGTCCCACGGTCTCATTGCCATTAAAACTCTCTGCGGCTGAATCATCTATTAAAAAAGATACATTTTCAGTCACATGCCACATAATCATCTCTGTCCAGTTCAAAAATAATTTATATATTCACAATGTCTTTTTCAAAACAGAATGAAAGCTGTTTATATTACTAGCACCAGTACACACTCCTCCATGTTTCGAAGTAAAAACTTTAAGTAAATCCATAAAACGTTATTAAGTAAAGGGAAATTGTCTGGGCTGACACTTTAGTACCACTGTGTATATAAAGGATAATCACAAAGGATTTTTAGGGACAATGTGATAAAGTCTGCCTTGATCAATCTGGCTGTCCATATGGCTATGGATCTATTTAGATTCTTATACCACACTCATTAGTGCACTATCACATATTTCTGAAATCAACAGAGGTGCACATGGTACTAAGAGAGAGTCTGAATCTCAGGTTTTAAGCATGCAGAACAGCATGTGTCATATCCATAAATATCTTTTTGCAGAGATACAGTGTAAATACATCTGATGTGTTCACTGCTGGCAGCAGAGATTACACTAGAAGAGCTGATTCCAGAAATGATCCTGTCTTTATTTTGTTCAGGTGCCCATTCATTTCTTTCATTCATTTTGTGTTATAATATACCTAAAAATATTGATAAATAGTGGACAAAATTATACACCTGAAAGCTCCATCCAAAAACTCTGGATGTGTCATTGCTACCCTTAAGATTTTACAGCTGGATTGTATGATTTTAATATGTGTGTTCATGTACTTATGGATTTGTGTATCCTGTTCTTGTCAGTACTGAAATTTGCCAGCTGTCCTACCATTCAGTCCTTCTTTACTTTTAAACAATCGTTTGGCCAATAGGCTGTCTAGTAAAACATTTTATTTTTCAAAGGATTAAACAGCAGTAGAATTTGGCACTCACTTTGCCCTCTTCTTGTTCTCTAAAGCACCTCTGTGTTGGCAATTTACACGGTTTTGCTAATGGTGCAAACACCGGCCCAGGGCTCTACAAGCATTCACTTACTGCAGACTATGAAGCTGGAAACAAAACTGGGGGGTCAGTAGTCAGGAATGCATTCAGATTGAAACTGGAGATACGGAATGAGATGGACCTTAATATATCAGCACCTTAATATAGCATCTTTTTTAGGCCCTTCTAAACAACTTCCATGGAAAAGAAGCAAACACGTTTATATACATGAGGAATTAAAAAAAACCCATCAGGACACATCCTTTAACAGATGTGCTCAGAAATACTCATGCTTTAACTACATGATTAATCAAATTATTGACTCACCATCATTATTACAGTAAAAAACAACTATTCACTGCTCTCAGATAAGATTTTTAAAAGAGAAGAAAATAGTGGATAAATGGGTAGTGATCTAACTCAATTGAATACTTAGAAAGTCAGAGACAAGCTATCATACATCATTCTCTTACTTGCTGCACTCAAAAAACATTTTTATGCCATAAATATATACAGGACTGGGCATGCAGTACAAACTTATGTTTTAAAAATTGCTTTGTTTTGTAAACCTGTAAAAAATCGAATTTTCTAACAATACAAATGAAGAGTCATAATTTTAAAAATTGTATTTGAGGACTTTTTTTTGTTTTTCTAAAGCTGTATAACTAATGGCTACAATAAAAAACAACCAGCTATGCTTTGGTATGTATCACTTTTTACAATATCTCTTGGGAATACCAATGTATATACAATAAAAGACATAACATTCCTAGAATAAGACTTTTAAATGTGTACACCAAACAAACTTGTAACAGAGCAAAGCTGCTTGAGGATTTCAACGATCTAAGTGACTAAAAAGCGCAGGATTTTTCCTTAATAAACCTTATATCATGCCCTGAGACTTTTGTCTTCAAGGCCATAACACATAAAAAAGGCTAAAATTCTAACATACAGAAATAAAAAAGCAGTTTTACTATTCCAAAATAGAAAATGGTATTCTAATACAGGGTCTTTATTTTTTTTTAAAGAAAATAGACACATTTCCAACTTATTTTAAAAGCTCTGAGATAACAGAAAGAAACCCACATGTTTTTTAACAGAGAAACACTTTGATTACTGCTGTGTTTAGGACTGTTAACAGATAATTGGCTTCTTGATTAACAGTTTAAAAAGCGACAGTTTGTTTCAAATTAATTAAATCAGTTACTGAATGGGTCACTGAGTGAGGGATGCTCTTCCCTTTGAAGGGCTCAGAAAATTCCCTGCTGTCGGCAGCAAAGACAGAAACAAGTGAGTAACCAGAGGATACAGAGAACCACCTAAAAGGTGGGGGCACTGCCTAGCCAGCAGCACACAAGTCTGATCCCTCGGGACCTTCTGAGTGCTGGCACTCGTGTCCCGGCTCATGCAGTGCAGAGGAACCACCACCAGGACACAGACGGCTGAATGGGAGTGATGAGAGCTGTGCTAAGAGCTAGATCCAGGAACAGCCAATTCTCAAGCACAGCTGTTAGTTTTGCCTAGCAATAATGCCTTAATTTCTTTTTTTGTTGCCCTGTACGACATATGGTTGACAACTAAACCTTACAAATGTGTGAGAATGTTACAATGCAGAAGAAAAATAATCTTACATTTGTTCTAAAACATGACCACTCAAAAGAACTCCTATGTGGAGTAAATGTGATCAAGAATTGTAATACTCTGAAACAGTAGAAAAGTTTTACAAGATTTCTGCTTTTCTTTGCAAAAGCTTAGTTACTTAACGGCAAAGCTCATTTTCTACTATAAAGTCAAATATCTGTTCTTACAGTAATTTAACCTTGCTTGTAAGAGATGGGAATTTGTTTGTCAAGATAATGGTCAGGAGAATGGCCACAATGGGTATGGTATAAATTGCACTTTTGTCAAGTAAACAGAAATATATATTTCCATAAAGAAGATGAAGAAAAAATAGAAAGTGGTTTAGCAATAGTTTCTTACAGATGTTACCAAGGTAACCAGATCTCAAGGTTTAGTACATTCCTCCTCCCTGGGCAGCTGTCTATTTTTCCTAAGAATAAGGCTACTTTAAAGCAAGAGTTTCTCAGAAGGTATCATAAACACAAAACACACCAGGAATGACTGAATTTGGGGAAAAAGGCAAGAGGGTCTTGCCCAGGAGAGGAAAGTGATGTTAATCCTTGGATACAGGCAACCACAGCCCAAACACCTCCTGACCACTCCTGGGCCTGCAGGGACTGCAAGCACTCGTGGCCACCACATGGATGCCAAGGGGCAAGAACAGATCCATGGAGACCTGTCCCTTCAGACCACGTTCCCAGTGAACAGTGGTGACTGCCTCTGCCAAGGGCAGGAGGTGAGACCTCTTCTCCTGACAGCGCCTGGTGCAGCTGCTGAGTGGGGCTGCACCTAAAGCAGAGATAGCATCGGGACCAGCAGTTTGCTCACAGTTTTCTCACTTTCATCTGTCACAACACCTCAGCAACAATAAAATGCTAATGCCAAAAGCCTTTTCTCTTACCAAGCATTTTTCCCCTCCATCCAGCAGAGGCAGAGGCATAGTGGCTTGGGAAGAGCTTGGGGAAGAAAGGGCTTTGTCCAGCTGTGGCCACTGGTCCCTGCTCCTTGTTGGGAACTCTGTAGAGATGAGGTCCACCCCAGAGGCACGGTCCACCCCAGCCTGGTGCATGTGGGGCAGCAGCCATGAACCCACTGAAGAGCTGCCCTCGCACACACAGGAGGTTCAGCAAACCACAGCATTCCTCTCTGGGCTCACTCCAGCCTCCCTTCCCACAGCTGGCTGGTGAGTGCAGCATTAAACTCCACTGAGGCAAGGGCACCACATTTTCCAAACCTGTCTCTTGTCTGAACCATCTCTGTAGGGTGAATTTTATGGAAAGACCTCAAGAGAAGCTTGCCACAGGCACTGGGAGATGGTGGGGGGGGTGGGGGGGGTGTGGTGCAAAGTGGCCCCATGCCCTGCATTGCGTATTGGGGCAATCATAAAAGAGGCTGTGGGATGAGGTCACATCTTCATCACCACCCAGGAGCTGCTTTTATCCACAAGTATCAGCAATGATAGAAAATCAGCCATCAAATGCTGCTTGCTCAGGGCAGGACATGCCTTCGGGAACTGTGCAGCTGTCAAACTCTTATCCCAGAATGCTGGAAGACTGGAAGTAAATCTACAACTGATTTTGGTACTTAAGCCTGAAAAGGGAGTCTATCTGCAAAATACGTATTCACATCTGGAAACACCTATGCAGAGATCCTCTTCCAGGGATTAAAGAGCATCACCCCTCTAACAAGCAAAACACTCTAAGAGCAGAGGGAAAGTATCTTTGAATCAGGCAGCAGCCACATTCTTGCTGAAGCATAGGACACTCTAGGCTTAGGCACAGACTTCTCACTTATGGACCAATATTTCTTAAACCTCTTGGTGCCAACACCTCCTTCTTCCACCTCGCACACTGCTCCATACTGATCCTGTGCTCTGTTCTGAGCAACACCCTTTGAACGCCTTTAGTCCAAGTATTCTCCATGTCAGACATAATTGATAGAACAAAGGGTAGTGGCTTTAAATGGAAGGAGAGTAGGTATAAATTATTTATTAGGAATAGAAGAAATGCTTTACTGAGGCACTGGAAAAATTTGCCACAAGAAGTTGTAGATGCCCTGGGAGCGATTAAGGGCACACTGGATGGTGCCCTGGGCAACCTGGTCTAGTGGAATCCTGTTCTACAGTTCTGTGATTCTAATTCTCAAAACAAAATCTACAGTAATTTTTTTTTACTTCAAGTGAATGTCTTATCACATTGCATTACAGCTTCCAGTTCCTCCTTCCAGATCCCACTGAGACCAGCAAGATACAAAGTGGCACCAGCTTTATTTTTGAATACATGAGAACTCCAGATTCCTGCTGTGAACTTTCCAAGCTCATTGCAGTCATCACTGTGTTAGCTTTTCTCTCTGCTTTTGAAGGAAATTTGGAAATGAGGGAAGAAAAGACAATGCCAAAGAAAGCCCAAGCAAACAGATGCTCTGAGTTTTGATGCTTGGAA